ATTATCCATTTCTTCTAGGTTTTTTAGTTTATTTGCGTAGAGGTGTTTATAGTATTCTCTGATGGTAGTTTGTATTTCTGTGGGGTTGGTGGTGATATTCCCTTTATCATTTTTTATTGCTTCTATTTGATTCTTCTCTCTTTTCTTCTTTATTAGTCTTGCTAGCGGTCTATCAATTTTGTTGATCTTTTCAAAAAACCAACTCTTGGATTCATTGATTTTTTGGAGGGTTTTTTGTGTCTCTATCTCCTTCAGTTCTGCTCTGATCTTAGTTATTTCTTGCCTTCTGCTAGCTTTTGAATGTGTTTGCTCTTGCTTCTCTAGTTCTTTTAATTGTGATGTTAGCGTGTCAATTTTAGATCTTTCCAGCTTTCTCTTGTGGGCATTTAGTGCTATAAATTTCCCTCTACACACTGCTTTAAATGTGTCCCAGAGATTCTGGTATGTTGTATCTTTGTTCTCATTGGTTTCAAAGAACATCTTTATTTCTGCCTTCATTTCGTTATGTATCCAGTAGTCATTCAGGAGCAGGTTATTCAGTTTCCATGTAGTTGAGCGGTTTTGATTGAGTTTCTTAGTCCTAAGTTCTAGTTTGATTGCACTGTGGTCTGAGAGACAGTTTGTTACAATTTCTGTTCTTGTACATTTGCTTAGGAGTGCTTTACTTCCAATTATGTGGTCAATTTTGGAATAAGTGTGATGTGGTACTGACTAGAATGTATATTCTGTTGATTTGGGGTGGAGAGTTCTGTAGATGTCTATTAGGTCTGCTTGCTGCAGAGATGAGTTCAATTCCTGGGTATCCTTGTTAACTTTCTGTCTCGTTGATCTGTCTAATGTTGACAGTGGGGTGTTGAAGTCTCCCATTATTATTGTATGGGAGTCTAATTCTCTTTGTAAGTCTCTAAGGACTTGCTTTATGAATCTGGGTGCTCCTGTATTGGGTGCATATATATTTAGGATAGTTAGCTCTTCCTGTTGAATTGATCCCTTTACCATTACGTAATGGCCTTCTTTGTCTCTTTTGATCTTTGATGGTTTAAAGTCTGTTTTATCAGAGACTAGTATTGCAACCCCTGCTTTTTTTTGTTCTCCATTCGCTTGGTAGATCTTCCTCCATCCCTTTATTTTGGGCCTATGTATGCCTCTGCATGTGAGATGGGTCTCCTGAATACAGCACACTGATGGGTCTTGACTCTTTATCCAATTTGCCAGCCTGTGTCTTTTAATTGGAGCATTTAGTCCATTTACATTTAAGGTTAATATTGTTATGTGTGAACTTGATCCTGCCATCATGATATTAACTGGTTATTTTGCTCGTTAGTTGATGCAGTTTCTTCCTAGCCTCGATGGTCTTTACATTTTGGCATGTTTTTGCAATGGCTGGTACCGGTTGTTCCTTTCCATGTTTAGTGCTTCCTTCAGGTCTCTTGTAAGGCAGGCCTAGTGGTGACAAAATCTCTAAGCATTTGCTTATCTGTAAAGGATTTTATTTCTCCTTCACATATGAAACTTAGTTTGGCTGGATATGAAATTCTGGGTTTAAAATTCTTGTCTTTAAGAATGTTGAATATTGGCCCCCACTCTCTTCTGGCTTGTAGAGTTTCTGCCGAGAGATCTGCTGTTAGTCTGATGGGCTTCCCTTTGTGGGTAACCCGACCTTTCTCTCCGGCTGCCCTTAAGATTTTTTCCTTCATTTCAACTTTGGTGAATCTGGCAATTATGTGTCTTGGAGTTGCTCTTCTCGAGGAGTATCTTTGTGGCGTTCTCTGTATTTCCTGAATTTGAATGTTGGCCGGCCCTACTAGGTTGGGGAAGTTCTCCTGGATGATATCCTGAAGAGTGTTTTCCAACTTGGTTCCATTTTCCCCCTCACTTTCAGGCACCCCAATCAGACGTAGATTTGGTCTTTTTACATAATCCCATACTTCTTGCAGGCTTTGTTCATTTCTTTTTCTTCTTTTTTCTTTTGGTTTCTCTTCTGGCTTCATTTCATTCATTTGATCCTCAATCGCTGATACTCTTTCTTCCAGTTGATTGAGTCGGTTACTGAAGCTTGTGCATTTGTCACGTATTTCTCGTGTCATGGTTTTTATCTCTGTCAATTCGTTTATGGCCTTCTCTGCATTAATTATTCTAGTTATCAATTCTTCCACTCTTTTTTCAAGATTTTTAGTTTCTTTGCACTGGGTATGTAATTCCTCCTTTAGCTCTGAGAAGTTTGATGGACTGGAGCCTTCTTCTCTCATCTCGTCAAAGTCATTCTCTGTCCAGCTTTGATCCGTTGCTGGCGATGAGCTGTGTTCCTTTGCAGGGGGCAATGTGCTCTTATTTTTTGAATTTCCAGCTTTTCTGCCCTGCTTTTTCCCCATCTTTGTGGTTTTATCTGCCTCTGGTCTTTGATGATGGTGACGTACTGATGGGGTTTTGGTGTGGGTGGCCTTCCTGTTTGTTAGTTTTCCTTCTAACAGTCAGGACCCTCAGCTGTAGGTCTGTTGGAGATTGCTTGAGGTCCACTCCAGACCCTGTTTGCCTGGGTATCAGCAGCAGAGGCTGCAGAAGATAGAATATTGCTGAACAGCGAGTGTACCTGTCTGATTCTTGCTTTGGAAGCTTCCTCTCAGGGGTGTACTCCACCGTGTGAGGTGTGGGGTGTCAGTCTGCCCCTAGTGGGGGATGTCTCCCAGTTACGCTACTCAGGGGTCAGGGACCCACTTGAGCAGGCAGTCTGTCCATTCTCAGATCTCAACCTCCATGTTGGGAGATCCACTGCTCTCTTCAAAGCTGTCACAGTCATTTGCGTCTGCAGAGGTTTCAGCTGCTTTTTTTTTGTTGTTGTTGTTTAGCTGTGCCCTGTCCCCAGAGGTGGAGTCTATAGAGACAGGCAGGACTCCTTGAGCTGCTGTGAGCTCCACCCAGTTCGAGCTTCCCCGCAGCTTTGTTTATCTACTTAAGCCTCAGCAATGGCGGATGTCCCTCCCCCAGCCTCGCTGCTTCCTTGCAGCGAGATCGCAGACTGCTGTGCTAGCAATGAGGGAGGCTCCCTGGGCATGGGACCCTCCCGGCCAGGTGTGGGATATAATCTCCTGGTGTGCCCGTTTGCTAAGATCCTTGGTAGAGCGCAGTATTGGGGTGGGAGTTACCTGATTTTCCAGGTGTTGTGTGTCTGAGTTCCCTTGGCTAGGAAAAGGGATTCCCTTCCCCCTTGCGCTTCCCAGGTGAGGTGATGCCTCACCCTGCTTCAGCTCTCGCTGGTCGGGCTGCAGCAGCTGACCAGCACTGATTGTCCCACATTCCCTAGTGAGATGAACCCAGTACCTCAGTTAAAAATGCAGAAATCACCTGTCTTCCGTGTCCCTGTGCTGGGAGTTGGAGACTGGAGCTGTTCCTATTTGGCCATCTTGCTCCACCCCCTCAGATCGGCCATTAACTGTATCTCTATTTTCTAAAGGTATTTTAATACAATGGAATTGATGGGCAAAGGGCATATACATTTTTAAAATGTGGTAATTATCTCCAAATTATCTACTTGAAAAGTCATCAGCAACTTAAACTTCAAGCAGCAGTATAAGTACCACTGCTCTTTATTCTCACAAACATTGTGGATAGAAAACAGTCTCATTCCTCTTTCAACTTAAATTCTCTTATGAGAAACACTAAGGATTTTTTTCCTATGTACATAAGTAACCTGTAGCTCTGCAAAAAAAGTACTTTGCTCACTTTTAGTTTTCTTGTGGATTTGATTGGAAAGAATTCCCTGTAAAATAAAGATGTGCTTTCTATCTGTATATATATAACTGATATATATAAAAAACATATTATATTAGCAATATATACAATTTGTTATATATATAATAAATAATATATATCATATCATATATAATAAATAACTTCCCTGTAGGATGAAGATATACTTTCCATCCGAATTCATATTTTTACATATTAGTAAAAATATATATTGTAAATATTTTTCAAGTGTGTTATCTTTTGTTAATTTTTTTCTGATACACAGGGGATTTTAATTAGTTTGCTAAATCAATCTTCAGAATGCCTGCTTGTCAGATCATTCTTAGGAAGGCCTTTGTTAACATAAAATGTACCTGTATAAGTAAGTCTTTGTGTTTTCTTCTGGTACTTTTCTCATTTTGCATATGTAAAAATTTTAGTCTGTATTCCATCAGGAACTCATTTTTGTGACATAAAGTTTCATTAGTTTTCTTCACACAGTAGGAATTTTATTAATAACTCATCCTTTCCTACTCATCTGAAATGTTACCATTATCAATCCCTATGTATATATCTTATATATATTTCAGTGTTTTTGAATTTCCTATTCTGTTCCATTTATTTGTGTTTTCAGCTGTTAGTAAATAATTGATTGTGGGAATTAATAGCACATTTTGATATCCAGAGGAGCAAGTCATTTCACTCCATTATAAAAATTTTTAAATGTCACCACAATGGTAAGACAGACAGCAAGTGTCATGCAAAAATGATAAAACCTTGATATTTTAATTCAGTTTATGTAAAACTGATAAACATATTAAGAGCTCACATTTTGAGAAAACTGAGTCTTCCCATTCAAGGAACCCACATCCCACTTCCAAGTGTCCCTCTAAGAAGCCACAGTAAAGAACCTATCTACCTAGGTGGATTCGGATGTGAAACCAACCGACATAGGGTTTTATCTGAGAACTCTTTGCCTACTGAAAATGGCTCCTGGTATTTTTGACATGGGAATGAGTTCTCATTAGGCATTTCCCTATCATGTATATGACCCCATGTTTTAAACGTGTATATGCTTAACTTCGTGAGTTAAATCACTCAAATTCTCCACCAAGCGCTGCAGTAAGGGAATTGCCAACGATGGAAAGCAGCTGAGGCTCCGTTTGGCTCCTCGGCTCCGAGGGTGCCGGCGCCCTCCAAGGCCCCCCGCCTCAGGCGCTGCCGTGAAACCAGGCCTGGGGGCTCCCTCCCACCTCGGGCTGAGCCCCCGCTACCTGTCCTTTCTGTCGCGGGCGTCCACGTCCCAGAATCTGCGCTTCAGGCAGCGCTCCACCTCGGCAGCGTCGCCCTTGATGGCCGCCCTGTGGATCTTCCGCAGTTCCCAGTCCAGGGTGTGGTACCCGCGACCCGCGTACTCTTTGTCCCTGGAGCTCAGGAGCATCTGGCCCAGGCGTCTCCCGAAGCTGAAGAGCCTCCTCATGGTGGCGACTTCTCAGACGCCCACAACCCGCTCCTGAGCCGCCGCGGCCCCTCGTGGCCTTTCCACCCCCACCCAGTCCCAAATCCGCGATCCCCCCACCAACCCGCGATCCACCCCCAAATCCAAGATCCATCCCCAAACCCGCGATGTAGCTCAGAATCCGCGATCCAGCCCGGTCCACCACAGCCTTCAGCAGCGACACTCGCAGCCTCCGACCTCTCAGACTGAGTGAGCCCCGCCAAGCAGTTAGGCGCCTGCCTGCAGCTCCGCGCTCCGACCTCTCAGAAGCCGCGTGAGCCCCGCGAAGCCGTTAGGCGCGCGCCTGCAGCTCAGCGCTCGCGGCCGCAGGCGCGCGCCTGCAGCTCAGCGCCCTCAGACCTCAGACCCAGTGAGTCTCGCGGAAGCCGCTAGGCGCGTGCCTGCAGTTCAGCACTCAGACCTCTCAGACCCCGTAGACCCAAGCGGCTGCTAGGCGCCAAGGCCTGCAGCCCGCCTGTGGACCTCTCAGACCAGCGAGCCCCGCGAAGCCGTCAGGCGCGCGCCTGCAACTCAGCGCTCCGACCTCCTCAGACCGAGGGAGCCCCGCGAAGTTGTTAGGCGCGCGCTCGTGTTCAGCGCTCCGACCTCTCAGATCCCTGTGAGCCCCCGCGAAGTTGCAGAAGCGCGCTCTGCAGCTCAAAGGCCTGACCTCAGACCAGCGAGTCCCCGCGAAGCCCTGTTAGGGCGCGCGCTGCCTGCAACCTTGCCGCCAGACCTCTCAGACCAGCGAGTCCCCGCGAACTTTAGGCGCGCGCCTGCAACTCAGCGGCCTGACCTCTCAGACCGAGCGAGCCTCATGGCTGCCAGGCGCGCGCCTGCAACCCGCGCTCCGACCTCTCAGACCGAGCGAGTCCCTTGCGAAGCCGCGCCAGGCGCGCGCCTGCAACTCAGCGCTCCGACCTCTCAGACTGCGCGAGCCTCAGCCGTTAGGCGTGCCTGCAACTCAGCGCTCCGACCTCTCAGATCCCGTGAGCCCCCGCGAAGCCGTTAGGCGCGCGCCTGCAGTTCAGCGCTCAGACCTCTCAGACCCCGTGAGCCCCGCGAAGCCGTTAGGCGCGCGCCTGCAACTCAGCGCGCAGACCTCTCAGGCCGCCTGAGCCCAGCAAAGCCTTTAGGCGCGCGCCTGCAGCTCCGCGCTCCCACCTCTCAGGCCGCGTGAGCCCCGCGAAGCCGTTAGGCGCGCGCCTGCAGGTCAGCGCAAGCCGGGACTCCGGAAGCCGCTCCCAAGCCCGCGTGGCCGGCAGGGGGCTGCTGCAGCTCCGGCGCAGGCGCCGCTGGCTTGCGGGTTCTTCTGGGCTCGCGCGGGACGTCCCGGAATCGCAGGCGTGCATCCCTTCCGGCCTGAGGGCCCGCCTGGCCGTGACTCCCGCCGCGCTCCTCCTCTGAAGAGAGATCGCGGCAGCTGACAGGGGCGCTCCGCAGCCACCGGGGATGGGGCTGGGGTTTGGTTCCCGCCCCGGCGCAGCCGCCGCGGGGCAGACCGCCTGGCTTGGCCGCAGCCACGGCGACATCTAGCCCCGGTTCTGCGAGGCTGGGAGCGCCAGCCAGCTTGGGAGTTGCCAGGCAGCTGTCGCCAGCAGGTAGAGGGCGCCTGCAGCTTGGGCGCCCAGGTGGTGGAGCATGGCCTGGGCGGCCTCTGGATCGCGAGTGCACCTGGCCTGAGAGCCCGCCAGGCCCTGCCCCCGCCGGCTCCTGCTCTGCCGGAGCTCGGGACCTCTAGCTCGGGACCTCTAGCTAGGGGCCCTCTGCAGCCACCGGGCATGGGGCTGAGGGCCGGTTCCCACCCCTGTGCTGCCGCCGCAGGGCAGACCGCCTGGCTTGGCCGCAGCCACAGGGACATCTGGCCCCGGTTCTGAGATATGGGGAGTGCGGGCGGGCTCGGGGATTGCCTGGAAGCTGCTGTCTGCACACAGAAGCCGGCTATAGCTCGGGTGCCCAGGCGGGCTGGAGGTGCATGACCTGGTCTGCCTCGGGATCACCGAGCCTGAGCCATGACCGCCCAGCCTGAGGCCCCCGGCCATGCCTCCCGCCCCACTCCTCCACAGGAGGGAGATCGGGGTCGCTGGCATGGACATGGCAGTCACCCGGATTGGGGTTCATTGGGGATTCTCAGTTCTCGCCCCTGTGCAGCCGCCACCGAGCAGAATGCCTTGCTTGGCCGCAGCCACTGGGACACCTCGGGGGCCTGGCGGGCCCGGGGGTGAAATCGCTGGGAGGCGGGTGCCTTCTCGCCCTGTGGCGCCTCTGGGACCCACGGCCTGTCGGCCTCCAGCGCACAGGGCTCCCCAGCATCCTGGGCGCGGGTCCGCTGCCCGCACGAAGTCAACTCAGAGAGGATGAACTTCGGGTTGCCTTGTCCGGCTGTGCTGCCAGGCGGGGCAGCTGACCTGCTGATGGAGTGGCTTTCTTCATCTTCTTGCCCACGGGACAGCGGGCTGGGAAGCCAGGGGCCGCCGGGACCTGTGACTGGAAGCCGCATCTGCCCACAGCCGCAGCCTCCTGCACCTGCCATCCTGGCGGCGTCCTGGCGTCGGAGAAGCAGCAGGCGCGGAGCTCCTGCAGCTGCACCCCTGCAGCAACCCGTCCCGGCGCAGGAGGCAGTGGAAGGCGGCCTCCTCGCACAGCTCCTGCAGCCCCAGGACC